TATATTAGATTTATATGATATGAATAATTAAAATTAAAGAATATTATATGAATAACAAATTTTATTTAAAAAAGAATATATTTGTGAAGTCACGTTAAACGTTTATTTTTTAACGAAATGGATAATTTTTGCGAATATTTTAAATAATGAATTCCTTTTTAATAATAATTAAAAATTTATTGAATTCTAAGAGAAAATTATTCTCTCTCCAACAGAATAAATAATTTATAATAATATTATAAATTACATATAATTTATTTATAAATTATTTATAAATTATTTATAAATTATTTATAAATAATTTATAAATTATTTATAAATTATTTATAAATTATTTGTAAATTATTTATAAATAATTTATAAATTATTTACAAATCATTATAAATTAATAAATAATGATTATTTATAATAATTATTATAAATAATTATAAAGAAATAATATAAGATGTGTTTAAACCTATTTCTTATAACAAAGTTTCTTATTTTTTTATAAAGTGTTTCATATCTAATTAGAATGATAAGTTTCCGTAAACTATATCAAATTACAATAGGAAAGCTGGAAAGTAGTAATTATAAAATTACATATGAAATTAATTAAACCGAGTTTTAAAAAATCGGATTCTGACAGTAATTAAGAATTTCAGTAATTTAAGACATTCAATTAAAATATTTTGAAATAAACATCCAAAAAGTATGAAAAGTTCTTTAAATTACTTTTAATTATTTCTTTCAAGCAAATCACAAGCAATTAAAATCAATTGATACATCAATTGTAACCGGAATTTCATAAAAATGGAAAACTTCCGTAAACCAAACAAACAACTAAGCCATTTAGTTCAGATTCAAGTTTCTACTGTGTTAATTATTAGTTTATTATATTTCAAATTATTATATATCGTAAGAAATACATGTGCTTACAACAGAAAAAGATTAGAAAATTCACAAGTTCAGATGTTCAAAAACAAGTAAAATACATTTCTTTAGCAATTCCATATTCATCAATCATAAAGCTAATGTATAGTTACGATGTTACGAAAGTTTCTTCTAGTAAAGAATATTCTTTAAACTGTTACACGATAAACAAATTCCTTTGAGAAAAATAAGAAATTTTTACTTGAGACTTAAAGTAAAGTTTTGACTGTAATATTCAGAATATAGCGAGACACAAGAGTAACAAAAGGCAACTATTCCAGAGAAATAATGTATCGCGATTTTATGTCTTGTTTCTTATTTTATTACTCCCATGGGTTAAGTTTGTTCAAGAATTTACCTTTTATTTTATTCATCACTTTTATACTTTAGAAAACATTTCTATCTTTAGAGATTCTTTTAGATAAATGAATTTTTAGAGAAAATAATAACTTCGATTCGTTTGTATTAAAATTCATTTTGATTTATGGAATCCATGTTGTTTTTATTGGAAAAGTTTTCACTTCAATTTTATAACTTCAACACTAGTTGAGTTCTTTACTGAATTTTATTGTAATATTAGTATGAACAGTGATATATATGAGCATGAGCACATGCAGTGGCGACAATAAGGTCCATGCAAATGCCACTGATCTTGAGAAGATTGCACTTTTTAGGACGGATATGTTCTGAAAATTCATCAAAACATCTCAGTCTTCCGCGTTATGATTTCTGATTACAACGATTTATGTCCTTTAGATATATGTAGTCAAACATATTTAATGAAAAAATTCTTCACTTCAATTTTATAACTTCAAATTAGTTTTGTTCCATTATAGACATCTCGAATACAATTTTACTACTCAATACAATTGAGTAGCAACACTAAAGCCCACGTAAATGCTTCTAAAAACGTCACTGAATATGTAGGGAATTATACACTTTTTAGAACGATTAGATATAATACATAAACTAATTCTATGTGATATTAATATATCCACTTATATATTAATTGAAGGTGGAATTGAATGGTAGGGAGGTGGAAGGTGGAAAACTTGTGACGACATTAAAAAACTGTATGGGCTCTTTCACTTTTTCGTTAAAACATTGGGCACAAGAACACTTACTTCATATAAACTAGACAGTACTAATTTGTAACAACACTTTATAATTAATTATTTTCTGTGTGGAAATGTATTTTGTAATGACGATTTTTGAATATCATGTAAGAAACTATGACCAACTACATTGTAAAAAATTCCGAATCAAATTACGGTAAAAAGTACCGGCATTCAGGGTGCTGTAAAATCCATTTTTACCGTAACAAGTTACGGAACAAAAAATCTGATATACCGTAAATTTTACGGTAATAATTACGGTAAAATCACTGAATCACTGTAACTAAATAAATATTACTTTAAAAATCACTGCGTAATATTTTACGGTAAAATGGATTTTACGGATGCCGAAATACCGGTACTTCAGACCGTAATTTGATCCGGAATTTTTTACAGTGTAAGTTAAATAATATATGTCCAGTGAGATGACTTTCATTGCCATGAATTTTTCCTGGGCTTTTTCCTTGCTTCATAATTAAGACTAATCTAAGGTTCTTAAACTAAAGATAAATCAATACAATTTTAAACAACAATCTAAATGTAATTCCTATATTAAATTAGTTTTAAAGTATGCCATCTTAACCTCTTATGGAGTCATTTTTTTCTAAAAATGCTTCTTTAAAATTGGGTTTGAAATATATTTATAAAAAGAAATGCATTTAAATCATTACTCCCTTAAGCTGCATCCATGGAAAGATGGGTGGGATATTCAAAACTGTGCCAAATTACTGTACTTACTGCGGTTATACTACTGTTACTGTACTTACAAATAACCAAATTTGTATATCCTTTGTTTCAAACTACAAATTGACTAGATGAGAAATGATCAAACAAAAGAAATCACAACGCACGTGAGAAAATAGTTTCCAATGTTGGCATCTCTTCTTGACTTCAAGCCAACCTTTAATGTTACTCCCATTTATGTATGTCCCTTCATTGATAAACAAGTATTTTATATCTTTTTTCTCGTAAACTTAAAAATGGATTTTTAAAAACATAATGATTAGTTTTCCCTATGTCAAAGTATGGGGTAACTATGCATTTAAATTTTCAATATCTTAAACACAAATTTTAATTTGAATAAACTATTACTGAAAAAAAATATTAGTAAAGAAATGCATTGCTCTTACATTAATCGAAATAGTATTCTAAATTGTGGAAGAAGAAAAAAAAACTTTTCCACATTTTAAGATACTATTTCCAATTATATAAAAACGATTTATAATTCGCTCATTTTCGAAATGGCTTTCTTATTTTAAATTTAAATTAATTGTTTTTTAAAAAATATGATATGCGAGAAATAATTATGATTATATTTCGCAGCATTATGTTGTAATATTTCTCATCAGTTTTATATTAATTTGAGCACATTTTTCATAAAAAGAAATGTTAATGAAAATTTTACCTCTGCCCTACACTGTAAAAAAAAAGTTTCTCAAAAATTAACAAATTTGTGGCTCAGAAATAAATAATAGTCAAATTTGAAAAAACCGTGTATTCAAAATTAAAACAATATACACATTTTTGAACAAAATACGTAGTCCAAATGTTCACCTAAATTCTGGAGATCTTCGGGTCGAATCCATCAGGCAACCAATGAACATCTCCCTCTTACACACATCTTCCTCCACATCGTTTTTGAGACTTTGCATTTTGCTCAAAAATGAGTATCTGGGGTTTCAATTTTGATAATTATTTGTTTCACAAAATTCACCTATTCACCTATTTTGACACAAAAATGTGTCAAAATAGGTTCTATTTTGACACATTTTTGTCCGATTTTCAAGAAAAAAATTTAATTATTTTATCTCCTACGGAATAGATTAACTTATTCCTATATATATTCAAGACAATGCTTTCCAGGGAGAATACTGTTTAGTTTTAAACAACATTCATTAATAATTCATTTTTGGTTAATTTATAAGTTAATATGGTAAGTTAATTCAAGTTAAAAATTCGTTTTTTGCTGAATAATTAAAATTCAAGACCATTTTGCTGAATTTATTAAAATCATTTGAAATTAATAGAGACATTTTATGAAGTAAAAATTGTAATTAAAAATGAAATACACTTTTTTGAGGCATGATAAACTTTTTTTAACAAAATGCATGATTTATTAATTTATTGAAACTAATTAATTCATCTTCTTATGAAGAAATATAAAACTAATTTAGATGTCAAAATAAATTTATGTATTTCAGCTCCTGCGGTGAACCATTTATGAATTATAAATTTTGTTTCAAAAATAAAATATATTTTTAGAGATATGTTTATGTACTGTAATCACATCACTTTTGTGACTGTGTATCACAATATCAATTATCCACATCACTTTTGAGATTATGCATTTTGTTCAAAAATTAGTATCTGCTGTTTCAATTTTGGGGTTTTCAAATTCGACTAGTGTTCGTTTCGGAACTATTTTGACACATATTTGCTCAATTTTGAGAAACCTTTTTTTTTTTTTTTTTTTTTTTTTTTTTTTTTTTTTTTTATTATTATAAAAAAAGTGTAGGATAAAACAGCTACAAGCAAAAAAATTTTCATTTTAACCATAGAAATTAATCTGTAACTAATACTTTCTAACAATTTTTTGTAATAACATCTAATTATTTTTAAATATATTTTATGGTGCATACCCTTTTTAAATTTTAATCTATAGTTCTTCATGTAATAAAGTCGCTTTTTTTTCAGCACAAACATTGTTATTCTAAAATAACAAATAAAGATCAACTTTAATTTTTCGAAAACTCCTCTTTGTTAATTACCAAAAAAAAATTTCTATTTTATTTAAAACAAACATCTCGGCCACTAATCCGAACATTAGAATTCCAATTTCTCAAAACAAAAGAACACATTGATTAAAAAAATCCTCATTAATCCTTAATACCCTCCCAACTAATCTTAAAGGCTTTATTAAAATATGACTTTATTTGATTAAAAACTCTTTTTGTTCATTGTTCCATAGAGGCTTAAGCCCACGATAAGCCGACAGATGAGTTTATAAACTTTTCTTCCTGCAAAACCTACAATTACATAGGAATAATTTTTTTCCACTCAACGCTTTTACACACCCTTTATATGTAATCCCTAGTTCCCATCTGTTTCGTACAAAGGCACTTGAGTTTTGAATTTTTAAAAAGACCGCGAAGGGGGAATGGGTGTTTCCACCCACATGACTCCCCCTCCCCCCAATCCCAAAGGGAGATCCAAGCTTTCGCCACTGACTTATTGATCCGTATGAGGTATGTATTCTGAATCTGTCGTCGAATGATCAAGATATCAAACATGGCGGACTATGATAAAGAGTTCGCCAATTATCCTGGTGGAAATTTATGATTTAACATATATTTCAGAAGCCGTAGTCTTCGCTGCTTGAAATATGAAAGGTAAGAATGATTCATTTCTAGAAATATTTTCTATTTATTCTGTAAATATTACAAATTCCTTGAAATATTATCAAAATATGCTATTTTGGCTCAGAAAGAAGTTTAAAATTTCCGAAAACTCTTAGTGTTTTAAAATAATTGGCAGAAACTGTTGAAAATGTATTTCGCTTTTCATTCCTGTTTTTTTTTTTTTTTTTTTTTTTTTTTTTTTTTTTTNCCACTGGGTTTTTTCTTTTTCTCTTTCTTTTTCTCTTTTTTTTTTTCTTTTTTTCCTTTTTTAATGTTTCTTATGAAAGGTAAGAATTATTAAACTTTACTATTTATTCTATGAATCTTATAAAATTATTGAAAATTGAATAAGTGTATTATTTTGCCTGCAAAAAAGTTTAAAATAACAAACATTTAGTGTTTTACCATAATTGGCTAGAACTGTTGAAAATATGTTTCACTTTTCGATGCTGTTTATTATTTTCTTTTCACGTTTCTTATGAAAGGTAAGAATAATTTAACTTTACATACATTTAATATTTATTCCATGAATCTTGTAGTTGTATAAAATTAAATAAATATTTTGAGACAGAACGAAAAATAGAATTTCACGAAACTAGCAAAGAAAATTCTGCAAAATATGTTTCACTTTTCATCGTTAGTATATTTAGTTTATTTTTCATCATTTAAAGAATGTAATAGAATTCTATTTTACTTAAAATAAATTTAATTTGACTCTTCTAACAATACATCAATATTTTTGAATGAATGTCTGATTGTCTTAAGCAAAAAACTACTTGCATTTTTAAAAACAATTTTTGTTTTCTTTACTAATTTAAAAAAGTTATCCTATTATTTTACACAGTTTATTTGTCCTTTTGATGAATTTTTAGAAAAAATTCGGGGTCAAATTATGATCCGGAATTTTTTTGCAGTGTATTATGTTTGTGTTTATTCAAAAAAAAAAATGAACAGTGTAAATTTATAATTTCCTATTGTCCTTCACGTGAAATTCCCTACTAATGCAATAATATTATATTTGTAAAATTACATAATAATTTACATGCAATAACTTCTGTCTCATCCAGTTTTCTCCGACTCTTTTTGATTTGTTTAATTATAAAAATATTACATAAGTAAACAAATAAATTAAAAAACTAATATCAATTTAATAACAGTTATTTGTTAGTTTTACAGTAAATATTACTACAAATATTACGGTATAAAATTTTACGTTAAAAATGGATTTTACGGTAAATTGGATTTTATGGATGGTGCACTTAGAGTGCCAGTACTTTTTATCTTAATTTGTCTCGAAATTTTTACAATGTAAAATCAGGTGTTCACAAAACTACTTTTTTTTTGCGAATATATATTTTTCAATTATATGCGTCATGAACGGGACAAAACCTCAGAATCACCCTGCTATGCCATTATAAGCATTAGCATAAGCCCGTAATATTATGTAATGTTAAATAGAACATGAAAATTAGTTTTTAAAAATCTATGTTTTAAATTTATAAATTTTTAACTTTAAAAGTTCATTAAATCTAACCTATAATAAGTATTAATTTTAATAAACTATTAAAATAATCTAAAACTCATTAATCAAATGAGATATAAATCATCACATTATGTAATATAAAACTGCAGTATGAAAATAATTTTTAAAAATATGACTTTTTCTCTTAAATTGATTTTTTTAACTAAAAAAATATTCAATTTATAAGTCAATTACTTTTTAACATAATTTTAAATCATGGTCTAGACTTTAGTCACATAAAATTAAGATTTAATGTATAAGCTGAAATTTAAATCTCGGGTCCTTTTTGAATAAAGCCATTTAAAAAATATGTTCGTTTTATTTTTTTAAAAATAACAATTCACTTTTAATGTTTCATGATAAATATATAAGAAAAGTTCTCAGAAATTAGCACAAAAAAGAGCATTATATTAGAATAATCTTAATATATAAACATTCTGTGTATTGACATTAAAATATGCTTCATTTTAATCATTTGCTCAATTAGACAAGGTGGATCATAGTATAAATGAGACATAGGGTTAATATGGGAGGTATCAGTAATAATTTAAGCTTTCAGTCAAAATTTCTCAAAAAACTTAAACGGAGCCGGTGTGCCTTAAGGCAATGTTTCCCAAAGTGTGGTAAGCGTACTCCCAGGGATACGGGAACAGTTTAGCAGGGGTACGCGTTCTTAAGCGAAATATTTTTCAACAAACGAAAATTTCAAAAAATTTTAGTTAAAAGCAAAGCCAGCCAAGAAAATTTACAATTAGGTATTTTTCTATTGGCCATTTTTTGCAGAGTTAACAGTTAATAATTTAATAATTAGCAGTCAGTTGAGATTTTTAACTTTCGTGCAATTTTTTATAGTAAAAAAATACATTTTTTTATTAGTGGTACACAGCGTTACGAAAAAAAATTTAGAAAGGGTACACAAAAGTCTCAAATTTGGGAAACACTGCCTTAGGGGATAGAGCGTTCGCCTTCCAATAACGTGAACCGGGTTCTATACGAATTCCGCACCCGGCTCGCACCGACCACAGTGCTGACGTTTAGTGCGGCTTTGAGAACTCCTCCAGACTGAAAGTCTGGGGCTGTTTGCTGCTATGGTAACAAGCGAGAGCACAAAGATTACGACAAAACTATTCACCCTACACCCCTATTCGAAGTGACCTTTCCTCGTAACCATAGTACCAGACACGACGCGAGACGGGTGTCTGGAGGAGTTCTTATGAAAGCCACACTATAAAATATCCTCAGTGGTAGACGGATCATGGGTTAGTCTCCTTGCCATTAGGCTAATATTAGGCTAATCTTAATTTTCCTCCCCATGTAACCCAAATGCGGGTAAGTTCCATAAGAAAATCCTCCACGAAGGCAAATTTCTCCCAATACTTGAACAATGTAAACGCTTGTCTTCTGGATTTGGTTCAAAATTACAAAGCTACTGAATTGGACATTAGTAGTCGTAAACCCAAAATCGGGTCAGCTGTTCATCTACGGTTATAAAAAAAAGAAAAAGAACCTTTGACGAATTTATAAATTGCTTACATGCAGTTGCATGGCAAGACACTTGATTATTAAGTAGTAAATTAGAAAAAATGTTTTTATGGCGGAAAAGTGAATTGTTAATTTGCCTTTTAATCGCTACTATTAATTACTTTTATTCATTAATTTGAAAAAAATTAGGCGATATTATGTAGTTAAGTATAATTATAATATTTTAATAATCATTTGATTTGCATTTTTTTAAGGATTTTCTATTAGGCTTAAATGATCGAATGATTCCATATGGGAACTATAGTGGACCCCCTAGTTGTGGACAAAGTCGACATATCCATATAGAACTATGTATCTGTACTAATGTTTGTTAATTTATAACACTTGAAATATTAAAACTTTCATTCATTAAATTAGATTAATTTTGTAAAGTAATTAATTTATTTCCGATTTTTTTTTCATCATTTTAGACTTTTAATACTAAACTCAATTTGTTTTTGTACAAATTTTTTAGAGAGATGCTTAAATCTTATAATGCTTAAATTTTAAACATGTTTTTAGTTTTTCATTATTATTAATATTATTATTCAAAATGTTGATTAGTAATGCAATTACACTATTTTTTGTAAAATGTGTCCTTCCAAAATTCTCTTAATGCTCCACGCTCATGACTGATAAGTTTGACATGCTAGTTGACATATAATACTGATTTAAGTTATCTCATAAAATAAGGCCATATTCCACTTATTTAATATTTTTCCATCTAATAAATATTTAAATTGACTTTTAATGTGGCAGGTTACCCCTGAAACATATCGTAGCGTTGTCTGAATCTAGTTCAGTTCTTAATATGAATTTAACATTTAGGGGAAGGGAGGCTAAGCTTCGACCGCGTTTTGGAGCTAAACAGTTAGACTTAGAAATTGTTAGATTTGACCAAGATATTTATTATTTCCGAAAACT